TGGGTTTCATAAAAGTTAATGAATATATATACATTGATATATTAACAGAATATGAAATTCATGATGGTTCTTTTTTTTTTTTTTTTTTTTTTTTTAAATATGAATGAACATGATTTCGATATTTTAAAACAATATTAGGATATTGCAACATAATATCTAGGCTGGAGGCCATATATTATTCATCTTCAAACTAACCCTACTATACATCCTGTGTCCTTAAATAAGATAAAGAAAACAAATATTTTTGAAACGTGTTAATGAAAACTATGCCAAAAGGAATACTATTTTGAATTGAATAATTTTATTTTGTGGGCTAGCTTTAGGCGGCGGAAGATTGTATAACTCTTGAGCAGGTCAGACAAAAGCAGTATAGTGGCCACGGGTCTTGATACCGTGTCTTCGTCAACTGATGTGAAACATATCTTTCAATGAAGGAAGGTCTAATGAAGACGGACATATGCCATACAATGTGTTGGACGGAACTTTTGTCCGGATAGCAATCGAATACCCACTGTCGCTGGTTCACATTAACGTGCGTTACTTGCCAGGCTCCAAACTGATCAGCAGTGAATATTCGCGAGGCCGCTCCAAACTGATCAGTAGTGAATATTCGCTAGGCCTCTACAATCAATGAGAGGGGTGACATCGGTGCGAGTTCATTAGCTCACAATATGAACTTTTTACATTCTGCAAATTAAATTCTAGAACATTTTTTGAAGTAATAGAAAAATAAATAAAGGTCTTTGAAGTATATCAGGATAAAACAATATTTCCTATTTAGTGTAAATTGGTATATGAGATAGTACACGAGGGCGTTAAAGGTACCATTCTGCCCGCACCAGTTTACGTTACTACGTCTTATGTAAATAATGCACGCTCTATCGAAGCCAATGATACGACGTCACACGTAGAAGGCATTTGAACTTATAAAGGTCAGTCATCTCACACACAGTTAGATGAAGGCTTTCGCATTACCGCTCTTTAAATTATACAACAGATGAATAAAGGAATTAGTTTTATGGGATACCATTTGTATTTATGGGCCGATAAAGACCAACGAATCCTAGTTGATTATTAAACAGTAATGGTGTTCGATAGAATTATATCCTGTGTTTATGAGGACATTAAGCTATTGAGTCAACAACCTATGTAGGTTGTGTGCATTGTATTGTAACGAATAAAGAGAGAGAGAGAGAGAGAGAGAGATAGAGAGAGAGAGAGAGAGAGAGAGAAACGGAGTTTAACGTTCACTCGACACAAACCAGGTCATTTCGGGAATAACATATGGTTTAATTTTATTTCAATAATTTGCTTGCGCGTAGGGGTTTTTAGCAGTGGGAGGAAACCGAAGGACACGGAGAAAACGCACGAGGTTGGACAGGCGACCCTACTCTTTGTCACGTACAACCGGGGAATCGAAACCAGGCCAGTTGACTCAATGACAGACCTTATGATACAACGCGCACACGCTAACCATTCGGCCACCCCCCCCCCCCGGTTTATAACGGTCAATACACATAATGCGATAAGTCGGCTGTTCATGTGATTAATACACTTGTGCATTCAGATATCTCCTTACCGTATGGAGGGGAACTGGGGGTCGACGGTCTATCGCACTTTGCGGTAGACCATAAGGTCCCCTCCAGTTCCTATGATTAGTCTAATGAGCCCTGAAACACGGTATACCAATATGGTAATCCCGAAATGACCTGTTTGAACCCTGTCTTCCGAGACATTTAACACTCTAAATCTGAGATGGTTATGAGAATAAAATCACGAGACATCCACACCTGTCTAGTGTATATTGTCATTCTTGCAATAAACATTATACTAAAGAGACAAGAAGACAAAATTAAAGTCACTTGAATATATTAGGGCAAGGCAGGTCGAATCTACGCAAACAGGGGGGTTGGGTGGCCGTTGTATCATAAGGTCTGTCATTGAGTCAACTGGCGTGGTTTCGAATCCCCGGCTGTACGTGACAAGGCGATGAGTCGCCTGTCTATCCCCCGGTTTCATCCCACTGCTAAAGATCCCTACGCGCAAATGAATTATTGAAATAAATTGAACCATATGTTAGTCTCGAAATTACCTAGTTTGTGTCGTGTGGACATTAAATCCCATTTCTCTCTCTCTCCCTCTCTACGCAAACAACCATTAAAAAACATCATTGGTTTAAAATGTTATTCTAACTGATAATCTATAACCTAAATTTGAAGATTATCGGTAAATTGCATTCGACAAGTATGTTCTCTAGTCGTTCTCTCGACACTACGGGAAGTTCTCGATTGAACGTTCCAGAATTGAATTCTCTCAATCACAAAAATAGTAACAATCGAGTGAAAAGGTGGATTTCTAGCTACAACTCATGCGTCGACTGAATAAGTAAATATCTCAACCAACCAGGCAGCCGAAACATATTCGTTGTATTTAATTACGTCACGATTCTACTCACACCTCCTCCGTTGTCGGGAGTGACAGAACTGTGACAGAACTGAATTCCGCGTTACTCGATTGCAATTCTGTCAATTCGGGACGTTCCGGACTGTGAATCGAGCATCCCCTCAATGTTAGACAATCTGGGCTGATTTGTCCCACCAGACACTTGTTAGACGAGATATTTAACACTGTTAAATTTTACACCTAAACCTGGATGTTTTGTCTAGAGTATATATTTTAAATTTATGAGACAGGCGGCCTGAATAAATATCCCGTAACGATATTATTAAAAATGCATTATATAAGAGCGAAATCTGACAATATTGCGGGGGGGGGGTGACTGAATGGTTAGCGTGCGCGCGCGCTGTATCATAAAGTCTGTCATTGAGTCGACTGGCGTGGTTTCGAATCCCCGGTTGTACGTGACAAGGAGTAGGGTCGCCTGTCCAACCTCGTGGGTTTTCTCCGGGTCCTCCGGTTTCCTCCCACTGCTAAAGACCCATACGCGCAAGCGAATTATTGGAATAAAATTAAAAACCATATGTTAGTCCCGAAATGACCTAGTTTGTGTCGAGTGGACGTTAAACCCATTTCCCTCTCTCTCTCTCTCTCTCTCTCTCTCTGACAATATTGCATGTCTTATTGTAGACTTCAAATCATACTTTAAGTAGCTACGTCTCTAACTCAGTATAATCCAATGTCTTCGATATTGAAAACACGAATTATTTGTCAGTATATATCAACATTGATGTGGTGATCTTACCGGGAAAAGGTGAGATTCTGATATCCAATATTTAAGATTAAAAAAAACATTTTACCACTGGTACACGAATCGTGTACCATAATGCGTTTCAGCGCCATTTGTAACAAGGGACTTGAAGAACGAGACTAGACATATTCCACAAGTCATGTCTAAAGGTGACGTCATATTCTTATCTAGAGAGCATACACAATAAATAATATCGGTATAGATTGGAATAACCAGACGCTAAAGATTGCCATTCGATTGAGACTTCTGGCGTATTTCGCCGAACATAACTGATTTGAAATTAGAGTAAAACGGAAAGGATTGAATGTAAATCAGTTTATATACATTCACATTACATTATTATATGCATTGCGACCCATTTTTGTCAATTTCTAGGTCCCAAATATTAGCGATTTAGCTCCTTTAACTTATGTTGTCTGTCATTAGCTCCACTTGAGAACAGACGCTAAGCTAGTTGACCGACATTTTTATTCATAAATCGACGATTTTAGTCGAAAACATTAAACATGTATTATGCAAGAGCTAAATCTGCCTATTGCAGGTCTTTCTTTAGGCCTGAAATGTTTTCTAAAGTATTAATTTGACATTAATTAACTGATCCAGGCCTTAATCAACTCTCGATGGCATCAGATTTCTCCGATATTAAATAGATTAGAATGGTTCAGCGATACTTTGATTTAATCAAATATGGAGGACCGAGACTTAGCTTCGATCCACCAGTACGGTGGTTGAAATTATTGCACACGTCTCTCAAACCTTCAAAGGCTAATATCTTCGCTTGCAATAGAGTAATTTGAATGAAATTTTCAAATTATTCATTTTACATCATCTACTTTCTAACTATTATAGCAAGAATGGCTAGTTCTTTATCTAAATCTTACATAATGTATCTTTAAGTACACTGGAGAATTATGAGAATATATTTATTCCGCTCCCTTTTAATAAAATTGAAACAGGTTATTTAGTCTTTGTATGTGTGACAGTACATAGGCGTACGGGGAAATTTTTGACTGGGGGTGGGGGGCGGTGGTGGCGGCCGCCCCCCCCCCCAGCCCCCCAGCCCCCCAGCCCCCCCCAGCTCGTACGCCTATGGTGACAGATATGAAACAGATTTGGACCACATTACAAAATAGTATACTATTTTTTGGATATGGCGGCCATTAAGGACAGAGATCTATTCTCGAAGTAGGTAGCTCTATATTGACAGAATTGGCTTCAAATGTTATATATAGATTATTAATTAGGCATTTATTCACAAAACAGGTTCTAGACTATCGGATGGCTCATATATTGAATGAATAAGAACCGTTTTGCTATTTAATAATTTAAAGTTAAAGTGGATAATCGAGATTTTGTTAATTATCGTGAAAATGGTGCTTGACATTCAAGATTATCTTGTCAAAACATTTCAGTATATTAATTTTTCATTGTCTATTTTGAACTATTATCGCAAGAACGGTCGGCCTTTTCTGTAAATCGCAGAGAATGACTCCTTAAGGCAAGACAACAAACAAACAGAAAAGAAATCGGTCTATAATGTTATTCAAATTATATAAATTTTAACTTAATTTTCTATTTAAAGATTGCCATTAAATTGAATTTTATAATAGATATTTCAATTACGTTGCTCAATATTTTGCCCGGTATTCAATATGAGACAAACTGAAGTTTCTTTGCAGCATTTGAAAGTCATTTTCACATTGTCGCCCGTGAAAAGTACTGGATTTTGAATTTATTTTCTAGGAACTCACCACATAAAGGAATTTCTCTCTCTCTCTTTTTTCATATGCAGAATCAGAAAACGAGTTTGGTATGAAAATTCGCCTGGCCGCCATCTTTAGAAGACTAACACGGACCAGACCAGCGAACACAAGTGATGGATTAGAACCAAAAGAAGGTCTGAAGAAATGTTTGTCGACGATGGATCTTGTTTCCCTTGGGGTGGGGAGTTGTTGTGGGACTGGCATGTACCTGACTTGTGGCATGATTACCAAGACAGCTGGTGGTCCTGGAGCCGTGATTGCTTTCCTGGTGGCGGGACTGGCATCATTTCTATCAGGTAAAACAATATCAGGTTTTAAAGTCGCGACGGAATTTGTACATGATAGGGAATGGGCCAATAACTGTTACATGCTAAGAGAAAAAAGAAGTCCTAGAAAAGAAACTCACTTTATTTATTTACAACATATTAGTCTGTTGAGCCTAGGGGGTGGGAGTTGGATTTCCCGCTTGTACATGACAGGGTGTAGGATCGCCTATCCAACCTCATAGGGTTTCTCCGGGTCATCCAGCCTACGCACCATTCTCTCTCTAAAACCGAGCCGAAAATAAAATGAAATACCTCTTCACACGCCATTCACCAATCTATAATAATGGTATGTCTAATAGAATTCAGGTTAATAAGACTTCATGAGCTATGGCGTTTTGAGATCAGGTCTACGAGGAGGGTCAGCTATATTTTAGGTTTCTATAAATGGATTTGTTAAAAAAATCCATAGAAACGTTTAAAATCGAAGAAGGCGACCCCGAACTTTGCACATATGTGAGAAGATAAGTCCTGGAATCGAAAAGGAGTTACGGTGTTTTTCAATGAAGGGTACGAGGTTGGTTAAATATATTTTAGGGATCTCTGGATGAATTTATCAAAAATAAAAAATCTAAGATGGCGACTCTGAGTTTCTTGTTGGTTTATAAAACAGCTGATATATTAATGTTGTAAGATCTTATATTAATCCTTGACTTTCAGGTGTGTGTTATGCTGAACTAGCTGCATTGTGTCCAAAGACTTCTGGCTCAGCCTATATGTATAGCTACGTTACAGTAGGAGAACTAATAGCCTATGTTATCGGATGGGGTCTGATAGCAGAATATGCTATAGGAACAGCAGCAGGAGCAGTAGCTTTAAGTGCTACCATAGACTCTATATGTAACTTCACCTTCAGTACATATTTCTCTACTTGGGGTAATATCGGTGGTAAGTAGCCTATTGTGTTTTCTGATAATTGACTCAACTGGTGGATCTCTAGAAGGAATGAAAACACGTCACTTTTATACATGAATTATTGTAACATTTTTTTAAATCCGATTGAATCCAAAACGTTAGATTATCTACCGTGGATTAGTTTATGTATATTTTAGCGTAAATAAGATATTGTACGAAAAATGAAAATGATGGTCATTGGCGATAATTTGAATCAACCAGAAAAGTTTAAACCGTGTTCTCGGTGCATTAAATATTGCACATTATCCTGAATGACAAACTCCTTTACAAGCCCTGTCTTCATTAGCACAGTCGGAGCAGAACAGTGGGACGTTATTTCATTTCATTTCCTTTACAAGCTGCAAAATAAATTATCTGACGCCTTCTTCTTTTAGTGTTTAACGTCTGCTTCCACCGAGGGTGATATCGCAGTCAAGTTGTCTGCGGGAGCACTTGAAGGATTAGAAGGCCCTCAAACCAGGGATCGAAACCACGACGCCAGAGTTGACCGGTTAGCTAGAACTCGAAGCACTCGAAGCGCGACACTCTAGACCACTAGCACCGACCCCTACCCCTGTCTGATTCCCAGACAACTTGTTAGAAGGACTTTGGATTGGAAGCCAGTGTATCTCCAGTGTCATCATCTTATGAATGACCGTGGCAATCAATTAAGTAGCTATAACTTGTCCAGTACCCAGACGATTTGTTGGTTATTCTTAGATCCAATGTATTTCTGAATGATTGTGATAATCAATTAAGCAGCCTTATCATTTGTTATTATACTGGAAATCAATCAGGATTTTTCAAGCACCTTTGCTAGTTGTCGGGATATTTCCAGACTAAAAAGACTAAATTAGTTTGGTTAGATAATTATTGACGAGACGTTGCACTCGTAAATCTGGAAAGGGAACATCATTAGCTAATATTAATCCTGTCTGTCTATCTTGAGACACTCCGATCAACCAATTTATCTTGGGTAATAAGCAACTGGTGTAAACAACCCATTTTGTATTGATCGGCCTAATAAGTTTTATTGTAAGGTAAATGAACCTAGTCGGCAAAGAAAACCAAATCCCAAGAGGCATGGCTTATTGTTAGCTAAATGAACCTAATCGGCAATGAAACCCAAATCCCAAGAGGCCCGGATTAAAGGGCGGGGGACTGTGAGGGCAGCTTCTAGGGGCCCAATATGAAAGGACACAGCAGGTTCATCCACTTTCAAAAGCATTGACATCCATACTAACGGCAGTGAAAGAGGGTATTCAAAAATACTGTGACAAAATATACTCTCGTAGTGGTTTTAATCAAATGGAATATTAAAAAATTCCTTTGCTTGCTGATTTGTTTCTCTATTCCTACGAAGCCGATTACATACAGGCACTTGTAAAATCAAATAAACGATTAGTCAGACATTTGAATTTCACTTATCGATATATCGATGATGTTCTATCACTGAATAATCCAAAATTTAGTGATTATTTAGAATTCATATATCCTGATGAGCTCGAAATTAAAAACACTACTGACGGTGACAATTACGCTTCCTACTTGGATTTGCGTCTCGATTTTGACAATTGCCATAAACTTAGTGTTAAATTGTACGATAAACGTGATGATTTTGACTTTCCGATTGTTAACTTTCCATTTATTAGTAGTAACATTCCAATATCACCAGCTTATGGAGTGTTTGTGTCTCAACTAATTCGTTACGGGAGAGCTTGTTCATTTTATTCTGATTTTTTAAGTAGATCGAGGCATTTGTCATCTAAGCTTCAACTACAGGGATACTTGCGAACTAAACTTATTAAAACCTTTAAAAAGTTTTATGGCCGTCATATTGACTTGATTTGGTAAATATAACATGTCTCTCTCGGCTATTATTCTAGATATATTTAATTGACGCGTATACTATCCCTGGTAATGTCTGTCTACTTCATTGTTAACGCTGTTCATCACGTGCATTTTGCATACCGATAGTCCATTGGCCAATCACGCTATTTACCGAGATTTAGCCTAATAATTTGGATACAGCTATGGCGGGTCTGGTGCCAGGCAGGGTAAGCTTACTCTTCCGGACACCTGTTACCACTGTTTGTCGTGTATTTTGTACACGGTGAACAGTCCATATGCTTATTACACTATTTTGCCTTATTACACTATTTTGCCTATACCGTTTTTTTAGGACTTCGAATTTTGTCTAATGGTTTGGATTGTTCGTATTTGGTTTTATTTATTTCTAAAGAAATAATTTATGACTGTATTTATTATATTGTATATGTTTGTGCTAAATAAATCTATCCATCTTCAAAATTGACATACAAATTGCATTTGTGTAAGTGTGACGACGCACAATGAGCAGAATGTGCCCAACTGTTGGTATATAGGCCCCAGTGATATTTTTAGCTTAATGCGGTACTCCTTGCTCCTCCCGTATCTCTGAAAAAGGAGCGGTCGGATTATAAATATCTTACCATAATAACCACACGTAATCGAGGTGGGGGATTAGATGGCCTAGTGGTCTAGAGTGTCACGCTTCGACCTCTAGCTGGCCAGTCACCTCTGGCTTGCGGTTGTGGTTTCGATCCCTGGTGTGAGCGGATGTGGCTTGGAGATAGGGGCGCCTTCTCAAGCTCGTGGGTTTACTCCAGATTCCTCCCACAAGAAAGACCCCTGCGCTTGCGCTAAGATAATAAAAATGAAAAGTAAGACTTGTCTGCGATATCACCTTCGGTGTAAGCGGACGTTAAACACTAAGAACAACAACACCCCCTACATGATCAATAAGCCAATATCCGGGTCAATTTCAATACTGATTATTTTATTGTTGTTTTTCAGGTCGTCCCTATTTTGACATGTTAGCTGTGTTTATATGTTTAGTGTTAACTATAGTGTTAATCAGTGGTGTCAAGCTATCAGCAACTGTCAACAATATTCTCAACCTGGTTAATTTTATCGTGTGGATATTTTTCCTCGGTGTTAGTATCCATTACAGCGATGGTAAAAATTGGAACCAGGACAAACAATTTCCCACGGGAACTGATGGGGTGAGATAAAATATGATACTGTGTTTGCTTTTTTTAATTTGATCTCTGACTCTTTAGGGTATTAATATTGGGAGATCCTAGGTGAACATGACGCTGACTCACAATCCAGAAGGTCCGGGATTTGGTGTCAATTTTAGCCGAGAGAATTCATCACGATTTTCCAGTCTGGGAGGAGGGAACGCTTCTAGTCGTTCGGATGGGACGTAAAACAGAGATCCCGAGTACACATTGGCTATCATGTATTAAAACCCTTGGTGGTTGGAAATCGAAAAAGGGTAGGCGAAAACGCAAATGTGTGCAATATTTGCCTCCGAGCACATTGCAGGGCGTTTGCCCCAAAGCACACTACAGGGCCTCATATTTATTAGCTCGGTGAGTGCAGAAAAGTAATATATTAAACTCATTTACTAAAATTGACCTCTGTTACGTAGGACCCGACCAGAGCCGTCGTTGACCCATGATACAAACTATTCAGAGCAACTTGTCAGAGCGTTTACTTAAAATCTGAGCAGGTATTCCATTTGTGCTATGGCTTCGAAAATTCAATCGTATTTGACCGGCAATGTGGGCTTCTAGAAGAATATTTCTTGTTATTAATCACAAATGTCTTTTAAAATCGCGGGGCTGGATGGCCGAATGGTAAGCGCGCGCGTTGTATCATAAGATCTGCCATTGAGTCAGCTGGTGTGGTTTCGATTCCCTGGTTGTACGTGACAAGGAGTAGAGTCTCCTGTCCAACCTCGTGGGTTTTCTCCGGGTCCTCCGGTTTACTTCTACTGCTAAAGACCGATACGCGCAAGCCAGTTATTGAAATAAAATTGAACCATTTGTTAGTCGACCTAGTTTGTGTCGAGTGGACGTTAAGTCCCATTTCTCTCTCTCTCGCCCCCCATTTAAAATCTTTCGGTACGTTTCTTTCAGGTTCTAAAGATGTTACCAACTGCCTACTTTGCTTTTATTGGATTCGATATTGTCGCGTCAACAGGAGAAGAAGCTAAGAACCCCAGTAAATCCATCCCACGTTCTATCGTTCTATCTGTGATCATAAACGTCATCGCGTATACATCTGTCTCAACTTGTCTTAGTCTCATACTTCCGGCCAACCAACTTATGCCACAAACCGCCATGTTGGATGTGTTCGTTAAGAGGAAAGCATTCTATGCCAAATATATCATATCCTGTGGAGCTGTATGTGGTCTATTTGCTGCTGCCTTTGGTTCTATGTTCCCACTACCCAGGGTATTGTGTGCCATGGCCAAGGATGGGCTATTATTTAGGTAAATATACAGAGAAGGTGTTTTTTTTAGGATTTAGTATAGTCTTTGGCCACTTTGGGGTCTTGGACACCCAGAAAACGCAAGGCAATTTGAAACTCATAATATTTCGATATTTTAAAAATAACTTGATATTTTCTGCCATTTACGAAATAGCGGCCTTTTATATAAATAGATGTTTATAGTTCCTGACGTGGCTATTTATTCAGCAAACTTAGATGGGGCGTAGACCTTTGCTCCCTCTAGTTAACATGCATTGGGGCCCTATAGCGATTGTGTTTGTTACCATTATTTCTAAGAAAGAACTATCAGAATCAGATGATTCAACCCTAGCCAAATGATTAATTGTAGATTTCATGCGGGTTTGAAAATTGATAAGCTTATTTTTCTGTTTTGTTTTAAACAAACTACTTGCATCATATATTTTCAGTCAATTCGGTGAAATTTGTCCAAAGCGGAAGACACCTAAAACTGCCACCGTATTGACTGGTGTTGTAGCTATATTACTAGCATTAACAGTTGATCTGGCTAATCTGATAGAATTAGTTCTAATGGGTATGTATATTAGTTATCTCGAATACTGTTTAAGAGACAGGTTCTATATTCGATGAATGTACAATAGTTAATTATCTCGATTAGTGTTTACTAGACAGGCTTTAGATTCTATGAATGTACAATAGTTATCTCAAATAGTGTTTACTGAACAGTATCTGGATTGTACAATTGTACAATAGTTAATTATCTCGAATACTGTTTAATAGACAGACTCTAGATTCTATGAATGTACAATAGTTATTTCGAATAGTGTTTACTGGACAGTATCTGGATTCAAATGAATGAATGGGATGTGGTTTACAGTCCGTCTATCAATGTAAAAATAATTATCTCGAATATTGTTTATTAGACAGGCCCTTGATTCGATGAATTCTAATCGTTAGATTATCATAAAGGTCCATTTCTTGTTTAATATTACACACTGTAAATATCTTAACAGATCATCCATCTGCATGTTAACCATTTAATTATATATTTATTATACATATGCAACCCGCAGAACTATTAGGTCATCAGATTCCTCCGAATCTTATGTAGATTATCTGGACATTATTTACTATGGTTTAGTAACTTTACTTCTTTTGACAGATTAAAGATGACGATCGGATCATCGATCATAACGGCTTGGATCTCCTATATTTGAAAAATTCGTCATAACGGGTTTTAACTGTATAATTATTTTAAAATTTCAGGAACATTATTAGCTTATATATTAGTAGCAGTGTCTGTGATTGTTCTGCGTTATTCAAATGAAGAAATAGACGAATCACTGATCGAGTCTTCGGACAGTGAAATAATGGAAGGTGCGAATAACCAGAAAGATAAAATTATAAGGAATCGAATTGGAACTGATAACGATAAGTTAAAAGGCAAAGACCAGGGAAAAAAGCTTATTGCAAAAGAAACGTTTTTCTCTAAAGTAGAAGATTATGTACGGAAGGAGCGTGGATCGTTTACAGACTATGTGCCAGTGATAGTATTTGTGATATTAATACTACAAGTTATTATATGTATCGTGATAGTCAATGGTATTAATCATTTAGTGAACAGTGACGTACTCGTGATAACAACTTTAGCCATATTAGTGTCATTATTGTTTATATTAGTGGGATTTTTAGCCGTTTTACCACAATCAAAGTAAGTATTAATCTAAACTCGCAATGCGGTAATGGTTAAAGTCTAAAACTACGGTATAATGTTGAAAACAAATTATAAAATTAGTTCAGCGACCCAGTAGAAATACTAAACAACTTTGCACTCCAAACTCTGTGATTTGTGATTCTGTTCCACGGTTGATTTGTATGTATAATAGCGCGCTGTATCATAAGGTCTGTTATTGAGTCAAGGAGTAGGGTCGTCTGTCCAACCTCGTAGGTTATCTCCGGGTCCTCTCCCCCCCCCCCCCCCCAATTGCTAAAAACACCTACACACAAGCGAATTATTGAAATAAAATTGAACCATATGTTAGTATGTATAACACTTCTCGTGGGGATCATGGTGGCTAAGTGGGTAAGACGCTGGGTCGCTAGTCTGGAGGTCGGGTATTCGATCCCTGCATTGGCTGAGAAAGTTCATCCAGATTTTCCGGCGTGGTTCCCCCTTGTCAGTGATGCAGGATGGGGAGCCTGACAAGGACAGCTGTCTAGTCGGTCGGATGGGACAAAAACCGAGGTCCCGTGTACACATTGGCGTGCACGTAAAAGATCCCTTGACAGTTTGAATTCGATATAAGACTAGGCCGTAGTGCAAAATTTCCCTCATGGCACACTGTATGGCGTATGCCCGTCTCCATTAGCCCAGTTCGGTGCAGAACAGTAGGACGTTAAACCCCATTTCATTCTGTTTCATAACACCTCTCGTGGGAGCCTATTGATAATATCGTGGGCATACATAAATTAAACTAGATATTGTTGCATTATTATTTTTTTCAATATTTTGTTGGTTTTTTATCTTTTCAGACGTGAACAGAGTTTTCGAGTGTTGTGTGTGCCAATTATTCCTTTACTAGTGACATTTTTGAATATATATTTTATGGCGTCTTTAACTGTGTTTTCGTGGACTCTATTTACAGTATGGATGGCTATAGGTAGGTACCAATGGTGTTTAACCCAAGTGAAATTTGCCGCAACAATATTTGGGAAAGGTGTGTGGTGCGAAGACTCTGACTGTCGACAGAAATCTCAATCTGATTAAAACACAGATCCTATTTCATTTCGTTTTTTATAGCTCAAAATTTCGTTTTAATTGTCTTTACTACACTAGACTCTGGAAGTGTTGTTATATAACCCGCGTTCTGGATGATATGAGGGATTAGCCAATGAAACGGTCTGTTACGGCAAGTTTTGGGCGTGATTAGCCAATGAAACGGTCTGTTACGGCGAGTTTTGGGCGTGAGGTGCACGGATCTGTGGATAACCCACTATAGAAACAACAACGCTTATTGATTAATCAAATGTCTGACGTCTTAGGGTAAAAAACTGCTTGTTTGACCTCTGACTCGACCTCCCAGTACAACTGGTCAGATCTTCATGTAGTAGAGGCCATCTAAAGTATAAATAAAACGAATCGAAATATAGATCTGTACTTTAATCAGATTGCCGAAATCTAATCATTTTAGGGAAATAGGAGAAGTATACCGGGTTTGAATCTGACTGGGGACAAAAAAAAAGAATCTTGGATATGAAGCCAATGTATATCTGATCTGGTTGATGGTACCAAATCCGAAGGTCTCTCATTCAAATTGACAAGTAAATGGAATTCGAATAGAGTGTTTCACCTGGCAATGCACACCCTATCCCATAGAAAATAAAATCGTATGCTATAAGTATTAGAATAAGAGACGTATTCAGTGGTGGACTTGCCATACGGGTATTTGAGCAATACCCGGTAAATAAAATGGTCAGCTGGACTGGATACAAATACAGCCTAAAAACACTTCTTATAATTGAACAGTAACACACTAAAAGCTCTTTATGGAATAACAATTATTGCTTAATAAACATGCAACGTTTAGACGTTATTTGTCAAATTATTGTTGAAATTTATATTTGCAAGGCTTTCTGTTTACCGTAGATTTATAGCTTTGCTTGATAAAGACGAAACGTTGCATGTTAATAAATCAGTAATTGTTATTCGATAAATAGTTTTAGTGGTGTAATGGAAGACCCAGACCACTAATGGGCATACCGTGTTGACAGTGATGCTTTATTTATGAAGATATTATGTTCTATTTGTAGGTTTTGTGGTATATTTTACATACAGTATCAGGCAGAAAGGTGGTGTTGATTACACTCGTTTATCAGAATCTAGTTCAACAAATATTCTATCAGATCAAACAGAATAGACAACCAAAGAGCCAAAACCTGGGTCGTCAACCGCCAAAAATTTAATGCAATTCTGAATTTAATGATTTGCTCTGTGGGACTTAAGAATGACTTTTGGTCAGTACCGCATGACAGGTCAACGGGAACCACAGGAACTTAGTGTACCACGGAAACTTAGTGTAGAAATTATCTCAGTCCTGTAGGACGGAGGTCCTGGCAAGGAACGGCGTCTAGTCGTTCTGGTGGGACGAAAAACCGAGGTTCCGTGTGCACGTAAAAGAAACCGGTGTAGCACAATGGTACGTCTTACTCTGATGACATATACAGAGTTAACTCCCTTTTTTTGCGAAATTCCCACATTACCTCTCTCTGGTTGGTTCGGTTGCCAAAATCAGAACTATAAATACGAAACGAAATAATGATCAAAATTTAAAAAGGGTATGTTTGATAGAGTTATTTTTGCATTCAGCCTTTTCAATAAATTTTATTTCTGGTCAGTTTGTCGCTGTATAGGTGTAATATACTACTACGGTTGGGAATCGCAGTGACTCCCTGATTCGTTCCCGATGTTGGCCAAGAGAATTCCTGTCTAGAACCGCGTCGTCCGAATGGGACAAAAATCTTAAACCCCGTGTACACGTTGGCGTGCGCGTAAAAAAAAGACTTTGAAAGCGGAAATTCGAAATAAGAGAGTAGGGCATAAGGCCGCTGTCCGGACAAAATTTCCACATAGCTTAAGCCCGGTTGGTGCAGAAAGGTTGGACGTTAAACCCCATTTCATTTCGTTTTAAGCAGAAAGTTACGATGTCGTAGTAAATTAGGTCTGAGAACGCACAATTCGTGAACAATGAATCTGGATACCGACCAAACAGGCTCTAATTCGAATCCCGGTAACAATAATGCATTTAAATGTGTACAAATCCTTTGACCTCTCAACTTATATCATTTATTAATGACGTTTTCACAATTTATATTTTGTATATGATATATGGTATATTATGTATATTTTATGTATTTTATTTGGTTTTATTGCTATATTTAATTTATACAAAAGGGGTATTTATGAGATTTAAAATAAATTATTGTATGCGAAAGCTATAAAAAGCACGAGCTATTACTTTGTTCGTCCCTGTTACCTTGTTCGTCCCTTTGTCATCATCTATAACGATCGACACCCTGTTCCGGGGTTGCCATGGCTTGTTTGTTGCTATGGCAAGGGTGCGTAGTTCAATCTTTGTCATTTTGGAGATTGTATAAATCAAGTGTATTCTCCCTTATATGTGTATGAGTTAGTTGTATTTTACGTCCGCTTCCACAGACCTGATATCTCCCTTATATTTGCCTTGATAGCCTCGTTTGTCACGCAATTAGTTTTTTCTGCAATATTCTGCTATGCACTGGTTAATTGGGAATAATAAAATCGTGAGTCATGACGTAACGTTATGTCAACATATTTATGGCCCAATGTGGAGCTCTGTTTTAAGCGCAATGCTTTTGTAACGCAGTTAGCTATTGGTTGTTAATCGGACCATTGACCAGTCATAATTTGGAACAGAAATTTGCTTTCGTTAAAGCAGTGTTTAGTGGGATTAGGTATAATCAAACGAAACACTGCTAGGGGTATGGCTAGAAATATGTATACGGCATACGCAAGAGTTCCGCTAGAGGTTTTGTCAGTCAATAGGTCAAGTATAATATACACTGGCATGAAGGTGTACCGTGCATGTGGGCGTATGCCTGACGATTGAGTAACGTATTATCGTATATTATATTTGCGTATGGCCAGCGAGGTGGTGTTTTCTTTGACAGACAGTACGGTTCACAGCAGGTGACATGAAGCTACCCTGCATTGACACTAACTTGTTTTTAGTTGTATATCCTTAACCTTGAATTAGATAGGTCAACCGAATAACGACTTGTCCGCTTCCAATGCAACGTGATCATTTGTGACATTGTCAGGTAGGATTATATTCTTATTTATATATAGTTGTGTGTTGAATAAAGCACTATAATCAATCCTGGTTTTGAAAAAAAATATGATATTATTTTTGCGTAAGTCACTAAGTGATTCAAAAATCGCCTATGTGAGCCGGTTAATGGGCATTATTTTTAAAATGCAATGCTGAGGTCTAATAGATCTTTTAAGTGAAATGAAATGAAATGGGGTTTAACGTCCTATTGTTCTGCTCCGACTGGGCTAATGAAGACGGGAATACGCCATACAGTATCCTATGAGGGAAATTTTGCCTGGACAGCGGCACTACGGCCTACTCGAATTCCAACTGTCAAGTTATTTTTTACGTGCACGCCAATGTTTACACGGGACCTCGATTTTTCGTCCCATCCGAACGACTAGACAGCTGTCCTTGTCAGACTCTCCGTCCTGACTCACTGACAAGGAGGAACCACGTCGGAAAATCTGGATGAACTTTCTCGGCATTGCAGGGATCAAACACCTGGTCTCCAAGCTAGCGAGCCAGCGTCTTACCCACTTAGCCACTGTCATCCCCATCTAATTTAATTGTATTTTATTGTAAAATTCCATTTTCAAAAAACGACCTGCTTGAATAAGTAAAATGAATTTGCAATATTAAATAAAGGCTTGCAATCGCAGCTGAAACATACGCCCAATTTTCAATTTACGAGTGCTCAAATTTTTTTTTTAAAAATGAAACAAATATAACATTCCATCATTTGGTACAATTTTATTTCATATTTTAGTTTCGATTAAGGAAAGTACAAAGGCCATATTATATGTTATGCAGCAGAAAAGCAGGGTTGAAACCTATTTCATTTCACTTCATTTATACCTGAATGAATGAAATAGGCCATATAAATATGGATGAGTGTTGAACAAATAACACCAAGTTGTGTATCTTGGACAAACACAAACTACGATGTCATTTTAGAGACTCTAGATTCAAAAACTCTTCTGGGTGAGTGTGTGGGGGGGGGGGGGGGGAGCTGGCCCCGGACCCTTAGAAAAACTCGAACCTGCGGTACTTGGCGTTGTTTCACCTTGTCAGTGATCCTGGAAGGAGGGTCTGACAAGGACATCTGTCTAGTCGATCGGATGAGATGAAAAACCGAGGTCCCGTGTGCAGATTGGCGTGCACGTAAAATATCCCTTGACAGATAGAATTTGATATAAGAGTAGGCTGTAGTGCCGCTGTCCGACACAATTTCCCTCATAGAACGCTGTATGGCGTATGCCGTCTTCGTTAGCCCAGTTCGGAGCAGAACAGTAGGACGTTAAGCACCATTTCATTTCATTTCATTTTATTTAGCTAAGACAGTGGTTCTCAACCGTTTTTTTGCCAACGGCACACCCTGGAACAAATGAAAAAATAGCAGCACACCTGGCTAAATATATATGAAAAATATTCGAATTTTGCAAAATAAAAACATGGTAAGTCATACGGAATACAACCGTAGACAGAGACTAGTCATAGAGACATGGAATGACTCAAACTAAATAAAGAAAAACACAGCTATGAACTTGTCAGTAGACACCAGTGAATTCTCAATCGGGATCACATAGATTTTCACATTTTCTTAGTGTGTCGTTCAAAATTTCGCGGCACACATAAAACACTGGTTGAGAATCACTGAGACAAGAAGACATCCAGCAGATAGTTGCAATATCAAAACAAGAATATGCTACACTGAGAAAAAAAAGTGGGTCAAAAATAAGTAAAACTTACTTATTTGGGTGAGTTATGAGAAAATACTCATCTAGATGACTCTTTTGACTCAGATTGAGGGCAAACAGGTCAGCTATGACTCAGTTCATTGAAACTTGCGTGGACACATCGAGTCGCCAACTAGTCACTTCCGAGTTATTATATAATCAGTGATGAATTTGTCATGAGTCACAGCCTGGTCAAGAGTGAGTCCTTCCGGTGAAATGAATTGTGGGTGGAAGTTTTTGGCGGCCGTTTGACGAAGACTGGACGCTTATTGACCTAAAAGAAAATCCAATGCATCTACAAACATCTACCGTAAAAAGGTGAATCATTTGTGTTTTTATGTTATGGATAAGCTTTATATTATGTTGACTATTATACAGATTAAGCGGCATAATATGAAATAGGTCAATGATTTTGAATTTCATTAAAAATTCAAATTTAAATTTATTAAGTCTATAAGAAATTATTATTATCCAGTTAGTGATTTATCTGGAAATCTTTAACTGCATGGTATTAGAACAAATTACACAAGGAAATGTCACTATAGGCCTAGAGAACAAGCACATTGACCTAGGCTTAGTTACTGGGCTAATACGATTGAGTCAAAAGCGAGTCGCCACGTAGTTCATAAATGAGTCACAGCTACTTTGCAAAAAGAGTAGGAAAATAAGTAAATACTAAATCACAACTGGGTCAATAATAGATCACTGTTTTTTGTCAATAATATGGTAGGATTTTCGTACGTCGAACAGGCTTAATACTAAACATGAAAGATGCATTATTTAAGACTACATGAGAGCTAAATCTGCCTATTACAGGTCTTTATATTGGCTTCAAATCTTATATAAACTATTATTTAGACGTTTATTCACACTGAAAAAACCCTTGTGTTGGATCTCAACACAAGAACCTGTGTTAAAAATATTTAACACATGTTTGTGTTGTATTGCATTGCAATGACACAAGTTTGTGTTCTTTTCAATGTCTTAACACAAACTTGTGTATATTTATAAAATCTTATGTGGTTTTTTTTCCATATAATTAATTACGTCGACATTAAAGATAACATTTATTATGTTCCTTTATCACATTATGTTTTTTATTTATTGAGAAAATCTGAATGGGATTGGGGAACTGGATTAGGGATCTGGCCTAGCCTATATGTAAAACCACTCTTCCTGAATTTGAATGTCGAGTAATTCAGTTGATTTATTTTTTAATATTTCTAATTATCTAAAAGGATATTATATTAATTATTACAAACATTAAGTAGAAATCGCAATGTATGTATCGTATTTTATAACAGTATACTGATATAAGAGATCAAAGTTTTAGTCAATTATTATCTAAATATAAACTATTTATTTAATTAGATATAATAAAAGATTATTCTGATTCTACTCTTTGTTTATTTTCACATCTTGTCTCAGACAATATACAGAGACAGGTTATTACAATGTCTGCATTTGGAAGTGTCTGATTGATATCGCCCCAATAAACTTGACACATCAAAGACAATAACAATTGTGTTATATCTACGTTTTAAAAAAATGTTTGAATGGGCGTGGAAATAGTCGAGTTAATCTTTTTATTTAATTTAATTGGTTCATTAATCGAAATTGGAAATTTATTCTAACCTGTAAATGACCAATTAAAATGAATTACTCTTAAAACAAAGAAAGAAATATTTATTGAAGTAATTTTGCGGTATTAAACCCTGTGGTACTGCAAATGTTAACTGTATTATTAAGCATTAGTATCGAAAAAAGTGATATTGTTGTGAAAAAAGTTTGTTCAGAAAATAAGAGAAATGAAATGAAATGAAATGGGGTTTAACGTCCTACTGTTCTGCTCCTAACCTGGGCTAATGAAGACGGGCATACGCCATACAGTGTGCTATGAGGGAAATTTTGCCCGGACAGCGGCACTACGGCCTACTCTTATATCGAATTTCAACTGCCAAGGGATCTTTTACGTGCACGCCAATGTGTACACGGGACCTCGGTTTTTCGTCCCATCCGAACGAATAGACAGCTTTCCTTGTCAGCCCCTCCGTCCTGCATCACTGACAAGGGAGAACCACGCCGGAAAATCTGGATGAACTTTCTCGGCCAATGCAGGGATCGAACACCCGACCTCCAGGCTAGCGAGCTAGCGTCTTACCCACTTAGCCACGTGATCCCCTCAGAAAATAAGAATATCAGGTTTGTGATTTTGGTATTTTTTAATACAATGTATTTATAACGCAAATTTTTCGTTTCGGTTAAAACAAAATATACGTCCATTTTAATTGGCCGAAGGATGTGTGACTAATAGAAATATGGCGGGCGGACAAACTGACCAAACAGTATATTTCGAGGTATTTGAGGTAAGCTAATTTAATATTATATCATAACTGCATGTGCATAATTGTGTTCTGTTTGATTAAATATTCAAAAAATCATTCTTCGGATACAACCTCGACACCAGTCCGCCCTGAATTGCAATGTTTGTTTTGTGTTCTGGGCGCCATTTTGAATATAATACAATCCAGCGATAGTGTAGTCTAATTCCTTTAAAAGGGAATCCGAATTTGTTAATTTTCTGCAATATCACTTCGGTGGAAGCGGACGTTAAATAAAGCTATTTCACGTACAAAGACCTGCAATAAAATCCAGGTGAATTGGGAAAAATATTCAGGTATTTTCTTGATGAAGAGTAGCTATTTCAATTTGTAAATGCCCAGTCATCTTAGACAAATAATAATTCCAACTTCAAATCAGTTGTATTTATTCAAATCATACCATGAAGAATTGTATTTTTCCACTGGCATAATAATAAAAACTTGACTTTTATTATTTTATTTCTTCAGGCCAAGAGCATGGAAAATTGGTAATTGCCTTGTATCACTGCTAACTATAAATCACAGGGAGCCTTGGGCAGAAATGATAATATGGTTCTCAGATATGTTACTGTGTACAGACTGAACAGAAAATATTTATACACTTGCTATTACAGTACTGGCCAAATTAATAGCATTTTTTTCTAAAAACGTTGCAGAAGTAACTCACTAAAATTGAAGTATGAATAAAATCATACACCGTGAATATATTGAACTGAATATTCTTACACATAACCATAGGCGTACGGGGAAATTTTTGACCGGGGGGCGGTGGTGGTTGGTGCCCCAAAAATGTAGTTAGGTTCTTAGTATGTTACATAATAATAATAAATTCGCTGTTAAATTGGACACATTCAAGAACACAATATTTTTTTATACAACTTTTACAA